TATGTGGTCCTTTATGACTACTTTCACTTAGCATAATGCTTTCAAAATGTATTCATGTATCAGTATTTCATTTTGTTTCATGGTAAATGTATTCCATTATATGGATAGACCACATTTTATTTTTGAATTCATCAGTCAATGGACATTTGGACTGTTTCTTCCTTATGGCTATTCACAATAGTGCTACTGTGAATATTTGTGTATAAGTTTTAGTGTGGACATAATGTTTTCAAATCTTTTGAGTATATACCCAGGAGTAGAATTGCTGGCTCACATGTTAACTCTCTCTAGCTTTTTGAGGTGCTTTGAAAAGCTGCTACACCAGTTCAGATTTCCACCAGCGTGAGGGTTCTAATTTCTCTATGTCCTCACTAATACTTGTTAATCTGACCTTTTTTCTATTGTGCTAAAATATATGTAACAAATTTACCATTTTATTTTTTAAAAGATTTTATTATTGGGGCGCCTGGGTGGCTCAGTTGGTTAAGCGACTGCCTTCGGCTCAGGTCATGATCCTGGAGTCCCGGGATCGAGTCCCGCATCGGGCTCCCTGCTCAGCGGGGAGTCTGCTTCTCCCTCTGACCCTCTTCCCTCTCATGCTCTCTGTCTCTCATTCTCTCTGTCTCAAATAAATAAATAAAATCTTAAAAAAAAAAAAAGATTTTATTATTTATTTCAGAGAGGAGGTGGTGGGGAGGGGAGGAGCAGAGGGAGAGGGACAAGCAGACTCGGTGCTGAGCCCGGAGGCTGACCTGGAGCTCAATCCCCCAACCCCGAGATCATGACCTGAGCCGATACCAGGAGCTGGATGCTTAACCAACTGAGCCACCCAGGCACCCCACAAATTTACCATTTTAACCATTTAAAAAAGAAAAGATTTATTTATTGGGGGGGGGCAGAAGGAGAGGGAGAGAGTCTCAAGCGCACTCTGCACTGAGTGTAGAGCCTGACATGGGCTCTAACTCAAGACCCTGAGATCATGACCTGAGCCGAAACCAAGTTGGACCCTCAACCAGCTATGCCACCCAGGCACCCCATTTTAACCATTTTCAAGTGTACAGTTTAGTGGCATTAAATACATACACATTGTTGTGCAATTATTACCACTACACATATCCAGAACCTTCTCATATTTTTACACTGAAAATCCGTACCCATTTGATAAGAACTTTTAGCCCCTGATCAATACTATTCCACTTCTTTCTCTAAGAATTTGACTATTCTAGGTACCTCATATAAGTAGAATTATACAATATTTGTTTATTTGTGTCTGGCTTATTTCACTTAGCATAATGTCTTTAAAGTTTGTCCATGTGTCAGTATTTCATACATTTTCAAGGCTCAGTAATATTCCAATGTATGTATATACCACATTTTGTTCATCCCTCAGTGGACATTTGGGTTCTTTCCATGTTTTGGCTGATGTTTATAATACTGCTAGGAGCATGGTGTTCAAATATCTGTTCTGACCCCCTTTTTTTTTTTTTTTTAAGTTTTATTTTTATTTAAGTAATTTCTATACCCAACATGAGGCTTGAACTCACAACCCCAGCCAAGATCAAGAGCCAGGCAGGCACCCTTCTGACTTTTTATTACTTGTCAAATCCTTTTGTTTTGTCTTTTTTTTTTTTTTTTAAGATTTTATTTGTTTATTTGACAGAGAGTATACAAGCAGGGGGAGCAGCAGGGAGAGGGAGAAGCAGGCTTCCGTTGAGCAGAGAGCTGGACATGGGGCTCAATCCCAGGACTGTGGGATCATGACCCAAGCCAAAGGCAGACACTTAACCGACCGATCCATCCAGGCGCCCCTAAAAATTTTTTTTTTCAAATTTTGTTTTTTTGATTCCCAGTGTTACTACCTTAGTTTAGGTTCTAGTCATCTCGCTTATACACTATTTTGGTAATCCCTGGTCTACTGAGTCTTCTCTCTGTTTCCGCTTGAATGTGTTATTCCGAGGTCAAGGAGATTTATATTTCTAAGACCCAAAACTGAGCCTGTGGTTCCACAATTTAAATGAGGCTCCTCAATGCCAAGAGCTTACACAATGGTCAGGCTCTTAACATGGCATCAAGCTCTTTAAGGTGTAGCCACTGCTTACCTGCTAAGTTTTTATGATTTAGTGTTCTGAACTACTTTTAGTTCTCAGCTGTTTGTTTATTCATTCATGCCTTTGAATGTTCTGGGCCTTCATACTAGAATTCTCTCCTTAACAAAGTGTTTATTTACCTTTAGAAATTCTGCTCAGGTGTCCCCATTTGTCCTCCAATTAATGATCTCCACTTTTTTTTGGTTCCATTTATTTATTTGAGAGAGCTAGAGAGCATGCACACGGGTGAGGGGAGGGGCAGAGGGGAAGGGAATCTTCAAACCGACTCCCCGCTGAGCATGGAGGGGCTTGATCCCAGGATTTGAGATCATGACCTGAACTGAAATCAAGGGTCGGCCGCTTAAACGAATGAACCATCAAAGTACCAGAATGATCTCCACTTTTAAATGTTATTTTAAAAAAGTGAATGTTTGGTTAAGCGGCCTACTGGTTTTGGCTCGCATCATGAGATCAAGCCCCATGTCGGGGCTCCATGCTCAGCATGGAGTCTGCTTAAAAAATTCTCTCTCTCTCTCTGCTCCTCCCTCCATTCTTGCTCTGCTCTCTCTCTCTCTCATAAATAAATAAATAAATCTTTAAAATAATAAAAATAAAAGTGAATGTTTATGTTACTGTAATTACCATATTCTTTTACCACAATCTATTTGTATATCTCTTATCCACCAGGCAGTAAAGTTCTTTTTTGTCCTCTTTAGTGCTGGCACATCATAAGTGTTCAGGCTGTGTTGATTGAATTTACTTAATTATGGGAGAATTATGTACTATTCATATTGACCTTCTGAACTACTATATATGTATATGTATATCTTATCATTTAATCCCCCTTTATAGGTGGTTTCTATGGAAGGATTTATTTCATTTTATTTTTTTTAAAGATTTTATTTATTTCTTTGAGAGAGAGAATGAGAGACATAGAGCACGAGAGGGAAGAGGGCAGAGGAGGAAGCAGACCCCCCGCTGAGCAGGGAGCCTGATGTGGGACTTGATCCCGGGACTCCAGGATCATGAGCTGAGCCCAAGGCAGTCGCTTAACCAACTGAGCCACCCAGGCGCCCTCTATGGAAGGATTTAATTTAGTAGGTGGAGACTAAGCGAGACTAAGGAGTTCAGTGTTTTCATAGAACTTGTTTTTGAAATGGACTAAAAATCAAAATTCAGCCAGGTTGTAATTTTATTATTAAGCTCTATTTTTGTAGGAAAATAGCCATTTCAGCTAAAGTTTATGAAAGCTTATAGGTACTCTTCATTCTCTGGTTGTATAGTTTTGAAATTAGCATTTGTAAAGAAGCTGCCTATGAAATTTACTTGATATTTTGGCTACTCTTCTAATTACTGTGGAGACCTGAGTTTTGACAGTATTTACAGCTCTTTATACTTGTTCTAATATTGAGTTTATACATCTCCCCTCCCCTTTCTTTTTCTTTTTCTTTCTTTTTCTATTCTGAAGGAAGTTGACTTTTCCTGTTTTTTATTCAGAGATATTTGGATTCTTTTTTTTTTTTTAATGGTTAAGGGGATTAGATGTGAGTTCCTATGTAAGTGAATTTTTATATTAGATGATTTCCTTTTCTAAATACAGGCCAATTATTACACATTGTAAAAAAGAAAGAAACATTATTACACATTGTATAGTCCTGATATATTTCTTTTGTGACATTTTTTACTGGTATGAAAAATGCCGAAATGTAAATTTGATTATAATCTTTTCTAGACAAGATCTGTATTGTTTTATTTTTGTTAATTGTATGTTTAGAACTTTGGACAACAAAGAAACTATAGAATAACTGGATTTCTTGTTGTTTTTATTGCTCTCGGGATTTCCTTTTTTGCTTTAAATTTCTGTATTTTGAAATACCAGGTTCTGATTTCTCTGCAAAGCCAGTGTTTCATTCTGAATTTGCCCTCTCTGAAGTTATTCTACTTACCATGTGTATAAAAGGGGTATTATACTACTTATTTCGTAGAGTTGGTTGTTGTGAAGGCTAAGAATCTATGCAAAACACCTAGTGTAAGTGAGTGCCTAGTTCATAGTAGCCATTCCGTAAATGTTAGCACATCATACATGGCAAGGTATTGAAGCATTTTTTTCCTTCCTTATGTTTTAGCATAGTGTTTTAAAATTTGTTTGGTGGGCCGCCTGGGTGGCTCAGCCATTAAGCGTCTGCCTTCAGCTCGGGTCATGATCTCAGGGTCCTGGGATCGAGCCCTACATTGGGCTCCCTGCTCCGCGGGAAGCCCGCTTCTCCCTCTCTCACTTCTCTTGCTTGTGTTCCCTCTCTCGCTGTGTCTCTCTCTGTCAAATAAATAAAATATTTAAAAAAAAAATTTGGTGGTTGGTTCTAATTATTATATTTGTGGTGTTGTGGCTTATTAAATGCCCTTTGTATTTTCTGGTAGCAATGGTATAAGACTTTATAGACTGAGGATAAAAGGAACTTAGTTGATTGTTATATCAATTTGTTCTATGATTGACTAATCAATCGCATATCACCAAACCAAACCACTGAAGTTGTTTCATAATCTCTTACGCATTTTCTTTCCACATGGATTGAATATTTAAAATTTCCCCCTCTGATCTCTTCTTTTTTTATAAGATTTTATTTATTTATTTGACAGAGAGAGAGACAGCAAGAGAGGGAACACAAGCAGGGGGAGTGGGAGAAGGAGAAGCAGGCCTCCTCCTGAGCAGGGAGCCCAATGCGGGGCTCGATCCCAGGAGCCCAGGATCATGACCTGAGCCGAAGGCAGACACTTAACAACTGAGCCACCCAGGCGCCCCTCTTTTTTTTTTTTTAAAGTAGAGATTTCTTTGGCAGTGATGGTATGGCTGTTCTCTTGAAGATGAACAGTCATCGCTTTAAAGTAATGACACTGGTTCTTATTTTTATCTAGTTTCAAACCGGAGGCCCTATCGACAGTACTACGTGGAGGCTTTTGGGGACCCTTCAGAGAGAGCCTGGGTGGCTGGAAAAGCAATCGTCATGTTCGAAGGCAGACATCAATTTGAAGAGCTACCTGTTCTTAGGAGAAGAGGGAAGCAAAAAGAAAAAGGATATAGGCACAAGGTAAAGAAATTAAGCCTCTCTAATTATCTTCTTTGGGGTGGGCAGGGAAGAGGCAAGGAAGAAGTCTTATATTATTTAAATATAAGTTATTTCCTTTGGTAGTAGGATATTTGTGAGAAAATAAATGAAAGCAATGTTTTTCCTGGGATGAAATCGGGTAGCCTTCCATATATTTACACTCAATTTTTTGAGAAATAATTTCAGATAACTTTTGCCATGTCACTTAGATGTGACAGTATAAAATGACATGACCAGTCTTCTTTGTTTATATCTTTTGTAAGAAGAAAATGATCCTCGAAATGAAATATTCTACTTCTCACTCTCTGGATTAATTCTCTTAAAAATGAGAAAGATAATACTAAACATTTTTGTTTGTTGTCTTGGGTTTTTGTTTGTTTTTATTTTAATCATCTGGTGCTCATCATAGACAAGTGCACTCCTTAATCCCTATCACCTATTTCACCCATCCTCCTTCAGGTAACCATCAGTTTTTCTCTGTAGTTTAAAGAGTCTGTTTCTTTGTTTGTCTTTCTGTCTCTTTTTTCCCCTTTGCTCTTTTGTTTCTTAAATTACACATATGAGTAAAATAATATGGATTTGTCTTTCTCTGACTTACTTCACTTAGCACTGTACTCTCTAGCTCTATCCAAGTTGTTGCAAATGGTGTTTTGGTTTTTGTATGTGGTTGTTAATACTTAAAGTTGCAGTTTCAAGCCCAGTTATGTTTTAATAAAGAATATTGTGTTTTTGTTCCATTTGCTTGATGTTTTGTGTTAAAGTTAGGTGAATAAAATTTTGGTTTATTTCTTTTAATATTCCTTTGTAGTTAATTCTAGAAGGTGAAATAGTTCCTGTTAGGTTGGTGTTTCAGGCTTTTCTGTGTATAAATAATAATCATTATTAGGATAAGTTAGAGTCATTATGCAGTCCCTTCTGTTTCTTAGTTGAATTCTCTGAGGATTAGTGTCTTCATCTCTAAAACTAGTGTAATAATATGTGCACTAGAACTGTTGGGAGAATTAGAAATAATGATAAATATTTAATATGTCATAAGTTTGATGCCCTAAAACAACTAGTATATGTTTGTTTTTTTTTTTTTTAAAGATTTTATTTATTTATTTGAGAGAGAGAGAGAATGAGAGACAGAGAGCACGAGAGGGAAGAGGGCAGAGGGGGAAGCAGACCCCCCGCTGAGCAGGGAGCCCGACGTGGGACTCGATCCCGGGACTCCAGGATCATGACCTGAGCCGAAGGCAGTCGCTTAACCAACTGAGCCACCCAGGCGCCCAACAACTAGTATATGTTATTGTTATGATGAAGGAGGCTTAACTGCATCAGTTCCAATACTTTGGGTGGTTGGTGGTAGGGAGGTGTTAAAGAGTTTTTGTGTCAAGCCTTTAGTTATGTAGCTTAACCAACCCATTTTCAAAGGAGTTCAGTAGGGCTTTCAGATTCTGGAAAGTTGTTTTACTCTCGTCACAGTTATGAGAATTAATGAGTGTGTGTTTGTGTGTAAAATAAATTAAAGGGTCAGCTCATTGCTTTATAAGAGGAGGCTACCTTTCCAGTGACTGAATTTTTACATGCTCAGTGGAACATCCCTTTTATAAGTATTAAAGTATAGTTGGCTAATAGTTAGACCCCTGGCTAATAACGATTGTATGAAGCCAAGGAGGGAAATAAGAGTTTGAAAAATTAGTTATATTTCACAGAACATCAGTGTCTCCATCTGTGAGGAATCAAGAAAAGCATATATGTAATACCCAAGGTGTTTTGGTGTCTCTGGACAACATGACTCAGCCCAGGAGACTGCTTAGTTATAATCCAGATTTTATGTAACATGTATAGAATAATCAGATACATCACCAGAAATAAAGGGGCCTAGGGAGAACCAGAGGTTCAAATTTAGGGTCTCCTAGGGTAGATCTGACCTCATTTCTCCCGTCCTCATTTTTCCATGTTCATCTTTTTTAGGCTTTTGCGTTCTCATACAACTGAGCAAGTGCTTGGCCTTCATAAGTCAGGAAGAAAATAAATCCTTATTTTAAAGTGTGGAGGGGTAAATAGGAAGGGTCTGATTATTCCTTGATTTAGTAATATAATGTTGATTAGTAATGCAGTCCTAGTTATGGCCCCTCTTTTGTAAAGGAGGGAGAGCAGAGGATGTGTGGGATTAATCTTTCTTCTAATGACAGATCTTAGTGGTAGAAGTAGATTTGAGGAATCCCCCATTGTTTATTTAGGCTCTGGGTGAACAGTGGGTGCTAACCACCTGGCTGGTACCATAAAAGTACCTTGAAGAAGTTACAAGGCTTGGAAAGGCTTCTTATTTGAGAGTTCTTTACTGATCATCTCTCTATTCCCTTTTGTATTTTTTTGATAAGTGATAATCTTTTTCTCCTTTAAATTTAAGGTTCCTCAGAAAATTTTGAGTAAATGGGAAGCCAGTGTTGGTCTTGCTGAACAGTATGATGTTCCCAAAGGGTCGAAGAACCGAAGATGTGTCACCAGTTCAATCAAGTTGGACAGTGAGGAGGATATGCCATTTGAGGACTGTACAAATGATCCTGAATCAGAACATGACCTGTTACTTAATGGCTGCTTGAAATCTCTGGCTTTTGACTCTGAACATTCTGCAGATGAGAAGGAAAAGCCTTGTGCTAAGTCTCGAGCCAGAAAGAGTTCTGATAATCCAAAAAGGACTAGTATGAAAAAGGGCCACATGCAATTTGAAGCACATAAGGAAGAACGAAGGGGAAAGATTCCAGAGAACCTTGGCCTAAACTTTATTTCTGGGGATGTATCTGATAAGCAGGCCTCTAATGAACTTTCCAGGATAGCAAACAGCCTCACGGGGTCCAACACTGCCCCAGGAAGTTTCCTGTTTTCTTCTTGTGCGAAAAACACAGCAAAGAAAGAATTTGAGACTTCAAATTGTGACTCTTTACTGGGCTTGTCTGAGGGTGCCTTGATCTCTAAACGTTCTGGGGAGAAGAAGAAACTCCAACGAGGTTTGGTGTGTAGTTCAAAAGTGCAGCTCTGTTACATTGGAACAGGTGATGAAGAAAAGCGGAGTGATTCCATTAGTATCTGTACCACTTCTGATGATGGGAGCAGTGATCTGGATCCCATAGATCACAGTTCAGAGTCTGATAACAGTGTCCTTGAAATTACAGATGCTTTTGATAGAACAGAGAATATGTTATCTGTGCAGAAAAATGAAAAGGTAAAGTATACTAGGTATCCTGCCACAAACACTAAGGTAAAAGCAAAGCAGAAGTCCCTCATTACTAACTCACATACAGACCACCTAATGGATTGTACTAAGACAGTAGAGCCTGGAACTGAGACATCTCAGGTTAATCTCTCTGATCTTAAAGTATCTACTGTTGTCCGCAAACCCCAATCGGATTTTAGAAATGATGGTTTCTCTACAAAATTCAACACACCATCAAGCATTTCCAGTGAGAACTCACTAATAAAAGGTGGGGCTACAAATCAAGCTCTATTACATTCAAAAAGCAAACAGCCCAAGATCCGAAGTATAAAGTGCAAACATAAAGAAAATCCAGTTGTAGTGGAACCTCCAGTTATAAATGAGGACTGCAGTTTGAAATGCTGTTCTTCTGATACCAAAGGCTCTCCTTTGGCCAGCATTTCCAAAAGTGGGAAAGTGGATGGGCTAAAACTACTGAGCAACATGCATGAGAAAACCAGGGATTCAAATGACATAGAAACAGCAGTGGTGAAACATGTTCTGTCAGAGTTGAAGGAACTCTCTTATAGATCCTTAAGTGAAGATATGAGTGACTCTGGAACATCAAAGCCATCAAAACCATTACTTTTTTCTCCTGCCTCTGGTCAGAATCATATACCTATTGAACCAGACTACAAATTCAGTACATTGTTAATGATGTTAAAAGATATGCATGATAGTAAGACCAAGGAGCAACGGTTAATGACTGCTCAGAACTTGGTCTCTTATCGGAGTCCTAGTCTTGGGGACTGTTCTACAAGTAGTCCTGTAGGTGCATCTAAGGTCTTGGTTTCAGGAAGCTCCACTCACAGTTCAGAAAAAAACGGAGATGGCACTCAGAACCCAGTCCGTCCTAGCTCTAGTGGGGGTGACTCTGCAGTGTCTGGAGAGTTGTCTGTATCTGTACCTGGCCTAGTGTCTGACAGAAGAGACATCCCTGCTTCTGGTAAAAGTCGTTCAAACTGTGTTACTAGGCGCAACTGTGGGCGATCAAAACCATCATCTAAATTGCGAGATAGTTTTTCAGCCCAGTTGGGAAAGAACACATTGAACCGTAAAGCCTTAAAGACAGAGCGCAAAAGAAAACTCAACCGACTTCCAGCTGTAACTCTTGAGGCCGCACTGCAGGGAGACAGAGCCAGTGGAGGTTCAGAGCATGGTTCCTCAAGAGGTGGGCTAGAAGACCCTGGTAAAGAGGAAGCCCTTCAGTTAATGGGCCATTTAACAAGTGAAGACAGTGCCCATTTTTCCAGTATTCATTTTGATAACAAAGTCAACCAGTCTGACTCTGATAAAATTCCTGAGAAAGTCCCCTCTTTTGAAAACAGAAAAGGCCCAGAGGTGGATACTGAAATGAACAGTGAGAATGATGAACCCAGTGGTGTAAATCAAGTGGTGCCTAAAAAGCGGTGGCAGCGTTTAAACCAAAGGCGCACTAAACCTCGGAAGCGCACTAACAGATTTAGGGAGAAAGAAAACTCTGAGGGTGCCTTTGGGGTTTTGCTTCCAGCTGACCCCATAAAGAAGGGGGATGAGTTCCCAGAGCATAGACCCCCTACTTCAACAAACATACTAGAGGATACACTGGCAGATCCCAATCATTCCAGCCGCTTAGATTCAGTTGGACCACGGTTGAATGTTTGTGATAAATCCAGTGCCAGCATTGAAGAGATGGAAAAAGAGCCGGGAATTCCCAGTTTGACACCCCAGCCTGAGCTCCCTGAACCAGGTAAGGACCCCTGACAATGATAAGGATTAGAGAAGTAGTGGTGATAATGTTACCCTTCTGAAGTTGGGCTATTTTGATGGAAGGGCTAAGTGTAAATTGGGAAGAAAGTACTATCACTTGAAGGATGAGCTTTGTGTACAAGATCTGAATTTTGAGGGCCAGGTTTCCATATACTTTCAGAAATTATGTTTACCAGAAGCTCGCTCTCTCTCTCTTTTTTTAAAATTTTATTTATTTGAGATAGAGTGAGAGAGCGAGCACAAGAAGGGGAGCAACAGGCAGAGAGAGAAGCAGACTCCCCGCTGAGCAGAGAGCCTGATATGGGGCTTGATCCCAGGACCCTGGGATCATGACCTGAGCCAAAGGCAGACGCTTAACCAACTGAGCCACCCAGGTGTCCCAAACCCACGACCTTTTTAAATCTATGAAACTTTTTGGGACTCAATCTGGCATTGTAGGTAATTGAGAGGCTCTGAGCCTAAAATTTAAGTATAGTTATTAGTTTACAGAAAGTGAATAGATTTTATTGAATGTTAGGCTTCCTTTATCACAATTTAAGGAAGGTCCATTGATGATGTAGACAAAAGGGACATTTGCTTTTGGGAAAAAGAAAGTGTTCTGTAGTACCTATTTGAAGGCTTTAGATGTCTTAACTTCCCTTCTGTAACAAGGTTTGAGAACAACAAAAAACTGAAGTATCAGGGTATCTTACCTTAGCAGCAGAAGAAAACAGCAGAAGTCTTTCAAGATATTAATATTATATATAATATAATTGTTGAGGATAAAACTGACTATCCTTTTTCCCCCCATTTTTATTGTTATGTTAATCCCCATACATTACATCATTAGTTTTTGATGTAGTGTTCCATGATTCATTGTTTGTGCATAACACCCAGTGCTCCATGCAGAACGTGCCCTCTTTAATACCCATCACCAGGCTAACACATCCTCCCACCCCCCTCCGCTCTAGAACCCTCAGTTTGTTTCTCAGAGTTCATCGTCTCTTATGGTTTGTCTCCCCCTCCGATTCCCCCCCTTCATTCTTCCCCTCCTGCTCTTTTTTTTTTTTTTCTTAACATATATTGCATTATTTGTTTCAGAGGTACAGATCTGTGATTCAACAGTCTTGCACAATTTACAGCGCTCACCATAGCACATACCCTCCCCAGTGTCTATCACCCAGCCACCCCATCCTTCCCACCCCACCCCCCACTCCAGCAACCCTCAGCTTGTTTCCTGAGATTAAGAATTCCTCATATCAGTGAGGTCATATGATACATGTCTTCCTCTGATTGACTTATTTTGCCCAGCATAACACCCTCCAGTTCCATCCACGTCATTGCAAATGGCAGGATCTCATTCCTTTTGATGGCTGCATAATATTCCATTGTCTATATATGCCACATCTTTATCCATTCATCTGTCGATGGACATCTTTTTTTTTTTTTTGAAAGATTTTATTTATTTGTTTGAGAGAGAGAGAGAATGAGAGACAGAGAGCATGAGAGGGAGGAGGGTCAGAGGGAGAAGCAGACTCCCTGCCAAGCAGGGAGCCCGATGCGGGACTCGATCCTGGGACTCCAGGATCATGACCTGAGCCAAAGGCAGTCACTTAACCAACTGAGCCACCCAGGCACCCTGTTGATAGACATCTTGGCTCTTTCCACAGTTTGGCTATTGTGGACACTGCTGCTATAAACATAAGGGTGCACGTACCCCTTCGGATCCCTACATTTGTATCTTTGGGGTAAATACCCAGTAGTGCAATTGCTGGATCGTATGGTAGCTCTATTTTCAACTTTTTGAGGAACCTCCGTACTGTTTTCCAGAGTGGTTGCACCAGCTTGCATTCCCACCAACAGTGTGGGAGGGTTCCCCTTTCTCCACATCCCCACCAACATCTGTCGTTTCCCGACTTGTTAATTTTAGCCATTCTGACTGGTGTGAGGTGGTATCTCATTGAGGTTTTGATTTGGATTTCCCTGATGCCGAGTGATGTTGAACACTTTTTCATGTGTCTGTTGGCCATTTGGATGTCTTCTTTGGAAAAATGTCTGTTCATGTCTTCTGTCCATTTCTTGATTGGATTCTTTGTTCTTTGGGTGTTGAGTTTGATAAGTTTTTTATAGATTTTGGATACTAGCCCTTTATCTGATATGTCATTTGCAAATATCGTCTCCCATTCTGTCTGTTGTCTTTTGGTTTTGTTGACTGTTTCCTTTGCTTTGCAAAAGCTTTTTATCTTGATGAAGTCCCAATAGTTCATTTTTGCCCTTGCTTCCCTTGCCTTTGGTGATGTTTCTAGGAAGAAGATGCTGTGGCTGAGGTTGAAGAGGTTGCTGCCTTTGTTCTCCTTTAGGATTTTGATGGACTCCTGTCTGACATTTAGGTCTTTCAACCATTTTGAGTCTTTTTGTTTGTGATGCAAGGAAATGGTCCAGTTTCATTCTTCTGCATGTGGCTGTGCAATTTTCCCAACACCATTTGTTGAAGAGACTGTCTTTTTTCCATTGGACATTCTTTCCTGCTTTGTCAAAGATTAGTTGACCATAGAGTTTTGAGGGTCCATTTCTGGGCTCTCTATTCTGTTCCATTGATCTATGTGTCTGTTTTTGTGCCAGTACCATACTGTCTTGATGATGACAGCTTTGTAATAGAGCTGGAAGTCCGGAATTGTGATGCCACCAGCTTTGCTTTTCTTTTTCAACATTCCTCTGGCTATTCGGGGTCTTTTCTGGTTCCATACAAATTTTAGGATTATTTGTTCCATTTCTTTGAAAAAAGTGGATGGTATTTTGATGGGGATTGCATTGAACGTGTAGATTGCTCTAGGTAGCATTGACATCTTCACAATATTTGTTCTTCCAATCCATGAGCATGGAACGTTTTTCCATTTCTTTGTGTCTTCCTCAATTTCTTTCATGAGTATTTTATAGTTTTCTGAGTACAGATCCTTTGCCTCTTTGGTTAGATTTATTCCTAGGTATCTTATGGTTCTGGGTGCAATTGTAAATGGGATCGACTCCTTAATTTCTCTTTCTTCTGTCTTGTTGTTGGTGTATAGGAATGCCACTGATTTCTGTGCATTGGTTTTATATCCTGCCACTTTACTGAATTCCTGTATGAGGTCTAGCAGTTTTGGGGTGGAGTCTTTTGGGTTTTCGACATAAAGTATCATATCATCTGCAAAGAGTGAGAGTTTGACTTCTTTGCCGATCTGGATGCCTTTTCTTTCTTTTTGTTGTCTGATTGCTGTGCCTAGGTCTTCTAATACTATGTTGAATAGCAGTGGTGATAGTGGACATCCCTGCCATGTTTCTGATCTTAGGGGGAAAGCTCTCAGTTTTTCCCCATGGAGAATGATATTTGCTGTGGATTTTTCATAGATGGCTTTTATGATATTGAGGTATGTACCCTCTATCTCTATACTCTGAAGAGTTTTGATCAAGAAAGGATGCTGTACTTTGTCAAATGCTTTTTCTGCATCTATTGAGAGGATCATATGATTCTTGTTCTTTCTTTTGTTAATGTATTGTATCACGTTGATTGATTTGCAGATGTTGAACCAACCTTGCAGCCCAGGGATAAATCCCACTTGGTCGTGGTGAATAATCCTTTTAATGTACTGTTGGATCCTATTGGCTAGTATTTTGGTGAGAATTTTGCATCCATGTTCATCAAGGATATTGGTCTGTAATTCTCCTTTTTGATGGGGTCTTTGTCTGGTTTGGGGATCAAGGTAATGGTGGCCTCATAAAATGAGTTTGGAAGTTTTCCTTCCATTTCTGTTTTTTGGAACAGTTTCAGAAGAATAGGTATTAATTCTTCTTTAAATGTTTGGTAGAATTCCCCTGGGAAGCCATCTGACCCTGGGGTTTTGTTTGTTGGGAGAGTTTTGATGACTGCTTCAATTTCCTTAGTGGTTATAGGTCTGTTAAGGTTTTCTATTTCTTCCTGGTTCACTTTTGGTAGCTGATACATCCCCAGGAATGCATCCATTTCTTCCAGGTTATCTAATTTGCTGGCATAGAGTTGCTCATAATATGTTCTTATAATTGTATTTCTTTGGTGTTGGTTGTGATCTCTCCTCTTTCATTCATGATTTTATTGATTTGGGTCATTTCTCTTTTCTTTTTGATAAGTCTGTCCAGGGGTTTATCAATCTTGTTAATACTTTCAAAGAACCAGCTCCTAGTTTCGTTGATCTGTTCTACTGTTCTTTTGGTTTCTATTTCATTGATTTCTGCTCTGATCTTTATTATTTCTCTTCTCCTGCTGGGTTTAGGCTTTATTTGCTGTTCTTTCTCCAGCTCCTTTAGGTGTAGGGTTAGTTTGTGTACTTGAGACCTTTCTTGTTTCTTGAGAAAGGCTTGTATTGCTATATACTTTCCTCTTAGGCATCCCAAAGATTTTGAACAGTTGTATTTTCTTTTTTTTTTTTAAAGATTTTATTTATTTATTTGACAGAGAGAGGTACAGCGAGAGAGGGAACACAAGCAGGGGGAATGGGAGAGGGAGAAGCAGGCCTCCCGCGGAGCAGGGAGCCCGATGTGGGGCTCGATCCCAGGACCCTGGGATCATGACCTGAGCCGAAGGCAGATGCTCAGTGATTGATCCACCCAGGCGCCCCTGAACAGTTGTATTTTCATTTTCATTGGTTTCCATGAATTTTTTTAATTCTTCTTTAATTTCCTGGTTGACCCATTCATTCTTTAGTAGGATGCTCTTTAGCCTCATGTATTAATAGTTCTTTCTGACTTTTGTCTTGTGATTGAGTTCTAGTTTCAAAGCATTGTGGTCTGAAAATCGGCAGGGAATGATCCCAATCTTTTGGTACCGGTTGAGACCTGATTTATGACCCAGGATGTGATTGATTCTGGAGAATGTTCCATGGGCACTAGAGAAGAACGTGTATTCCATTGCTTTGGGATGGAATGTTCTGAATATGAAAACTGACTATCCTTCAACATAAGATTCTCAAAATTGTTTACCATAGTAGA